TATACACTTACATCCTTTTTAACATTTTAAGTTACTACATTTATGTTTATAACTGACATTCATCTGTAAAATTTGGCATAATTTATTTTCATATTGTGTTATGAACGTAATACTTATCTCAAAAAAAGAAAGCATTTTTACTACCAGGTTAAGTAATACTTTCAGGTTAAACTACTGTGAAAATATTTGGTCAAGAGACTTTTGTGTAAGGATCTTTTAAACTGTTTTTTTTTTTAGTGAAAAGTGATCTTTTAAAAATGACTTGCATATATTAGGGATAATTTTGGTAAAGTATATTTTCCTATAAAGTTTCTTAACCAAAGTTTTCAAATGTAGTAACATCTCGTTGTTCAACTTCACCTCATGATTAAAAACTCCTTTGCCTTTATAATTATTTCTGTTTGTTATTTTTTATTTTAAAATTTATACTTTACCCCTTTCTTTAAAAAGTTTCCAGTAATTCATTTTGTTGAATTTTCTCTTTAAAGGAAGAGTACTTTCATTTAAGTAGGAGTTGTACTATTTATATTCATACCTGCTTATTTTTTTTGCCTTTTTCTTTGTTGCTATATTATAGCTTTATTCATGATTCTTTTAGTCTTTCCATAGCTTTTATAACTCACATTTTATCTATTTATATTTTTATTGATATTAGTTTGTATTTTCCCAATGTTTCATAGTTTCAAAAATTTCAAAGAGTTTCTCTGGGGGCTGGGGAGGTATCTCTCTGGCAACCATGCTCTTGCAGTGTCACTTAAGCTTGTTTTTGTTTGTTCTACATGTCCTTTTTTTTTTCTGTGTATTTGTATCACTACGCAGCTTGGACTTGTAGTGCCCCTCCTGTCCTCAGCCTCCCCAGTGCTGGGATTACAGGCATAAGCCACCACGCCCAGACTTGTTCACTGGCTCAGCTCGCCTCGGGGGCAGGGCGTGTGCAGCATCCATGACCTAGGATCGAACCCTGGTCCTTGCACTTGCCAAAGCAGGTGCTTAGTTGGTTGAGTTATCTTGCCGGTCCTATTCTATACATTCTATACTCTTTCTGCTGTGAGTTTGTTTTGATCCAACGGTTAATCTCATGTATTTTAATATCCAGGTAGAAAGAATGCTTAAAAAACATGAGTTTTAAATTCATTTTTCTCATTGTTGCCCGTGAGCACTGTACAGTCTCTCTTTGTACTTTGCTATGTGATGGAGTTTTGTGTATGCTCCATGCATGTACTCCCAAAACATGCATCTTATTTTATCACAATTCAGTTTGATTTGTATCTATAAAAGCTGCCTTACTGATTAGGGTACAGATGGCCTGTATCCTAAATTTTGCTTCACTGACACCATATTAGACTAAGAGAGGAGTGTTAAAAATTTTCTATCATTAGTATATTTCTATTCCTCTCTGAGTTTCATATACTTTCAGTTTTATAAAAATGGTTGATATGTGACTGGATATCCACCATTATAAGACCCTTCATTATAATCGTAGTGCTTAGCATATTAAAGTGTCCTATTTCTTATTTAACTTTTTTCTTAAATTCTATTTTTTCTGGCATCTAGAATAGAACCATTGTTTCTTTTCTATTTACATTTGCCTGGCTGCATTTTGCTTTTATTTTTTAATTCTTTTAATATTCCTATGTGTTTTAATTGTACCTTTTCTCTACAGTATATAGTTGAATTTTGCATTATCGCTTAATCTGATAATATTCTTCTCTCAATAAGTGATTAAATTCATTTGTTTAATTAGCCTAACTTTTATAATACTACTTTTGTGCAAATATGAGAAGCAATTTTGTGTCTTATCTGTTAGCGCCACCACTGAGGTACAGAGCTGTCTAGGAGGCTCCTGCTCGGGGGCTCCTATATTGTTTGTGCTGGGTGTTTCATCCACAGTATTTATACTGAGTCCAGCATTCTGTAAATTAAATTGAACTTAAATTATATCAACAGAGCTTCAGTCTACAAGGATAAGGATGAAAGGAGTGTCAGCATTTCAACCCTGACTGTGGTAATATGCTTTTTGATTTTAGTAGCCAATATAATCTTGACCTTTTCTTTTTTTTCCCCTTTCCTTTTCTTTCCTTTTTTATTAATAGAGTTTTTTTTATCACTTTATTTCCTTTGTAAATTAACCTTGTAGTAATTAAGTTCTTTTCACAATCTATAAGCAAATCTTTTTAGTAAACATAGATTTCTGGATCACTAACACTGGCATTGGCTATCTCAATTTATATACTTGAAGGTCCTCGAAAATTTCCCCTGGCCCAAACTGAGTCTCTTCTGATGAGAATGCATTCAGTGGCCAGTGATGAGCTCCACACCATGATGCAGAGGAGAATGAGCACGGAGAACCCCAGCCAAGCCACTGATGCAGAGCTTACACAGAGATTGCAGAGACTCATGGTCCTGGCAGTCAACAGGATCATTTATCAAGGTAGGACAGTAGAATTAACTTGTTCTTCCTTAGACTTTTAAATAAAAGAAAGGTCACTTTAGAGGAAATGGTCTGGTTTTCAAATTTTAAAGTGTTGTTTTTCTGTTCTTATCTTCCACATCATTAAAGGAATTTCTTATTTGGAACTGATAGTTTCAATAAAAATCCACTTTTTGGGGGGTACCAGGAATCAAATTCAGGATTTCACATTTGACAGGCAGACGCTGCACTGCTGAGTTATATACCCAACCCTAAAAATCTACTTTTAAATGTGTTAAATTGCATCTTAGATTGATATTTGTTTTTTAAAATAATATAGTGTCTCTGATATACACTTTTTGCCCTTCATAACATTTTAAAAATTTCTACATTGTTTAGGAGAATTTACTTTCTCTATTATACCTCGACTCTGTCTAGCACAACTATTTATATAGTGTAAATGAATTAGCAATTACATATTTTTGCCACCATCATTTGTAATGATTATGTGTCAATGATATTAATAGAGTTTTATTGGAAATGCAATGTATCCAGTTAAAAGACAGCATTTCTCATCCTCTTTTATAATTTCAATGAGTCATGAGATACATTTCTGCCCAAAAGAACATAACTGATAATCTGGAGATGCCTGACAATGTTTACTTTTTCTACATTTTGGTGCCTTCCCTTCCTGATGGTCAGTTCTTCTTTCCTAATCCTCTTCTTATTTTCCTCTTTCACTTTCCTTTTCCTACTGGCCCATATCCCTCTTGTTCTTTACTTTTTGTAGAAAGTAGATAGAAGCTGGGAATACAGTACCCATCTATCAGTATTGAAATAGCTGGGGGAGGAAAGACACATGTTAGAGATGGTAGAGCAGCAAAAGAAAGACCTTGCGCCAGCCTCGACACATTTGCCCTAGGACTCCCTTCCTCTGCACCTCTTGCTTTATATCAAACGTAATTATAAATTTGACTTAGTGCTGTCATTGGGTTTGCCTTATACATAGTGGAACATTATATCGAATAAATTTAACTTTAATACTTACATGGCTTCTTCATTCATTTTTTTTCATTATCATACTTTTGTTTAACATCAGATATCAAGGGTAGATTCATCATCTCTGCTTTTTAGGCCTGGCTTACACTCAGTTTTATGTTCCCTTCTTTTGTACACCCCATGCGGGTGCCAGCTTTCTTAGCTATCTCCTTTCTTTTATATGGGAATATTCTGTGGTCCTGAAGGCTGCTTTCTAACTACATTATGCACAGAGATATTGTCTAGGGTTTGACCCTGGCATCATGACAAGACACAGACACACATACAGCTTTTAAATCATAGGTTAGTTCTAGATGGGCTTGCTAGTTCACTTGTGGAAACAGCCTCGTGCAAGGTAATTTGCATGAAATGAAGCATATTAAACTTCAGTGAATTGCTTTGAGCTCTTTGAGCCACAGCTTTGAAAAATACTGTTATTTGATCCTGTTGGTGAGTAGCTCAACAATCAACAATGTGATCTTCTTCAGGAAAAAGAAAGCAGATAAACACAGAGAAACCCTACTTTGAGAGTAGTTATATGGCTTGTGAAGATTCTTCTTTGAGGTAGATTCTTCTTTGGTGGAAGACTTGATGGTTTGTGATCTGGAAAGGTTGACAGACATAATTTTGTATATGAGGTAATTTCTGCTCTGAGATGTTCCTTGACTAGTTTAGTACTTTAGGATTCCATTATTACAGAAACCTCTTTATAAAACAAACTCAGAGTTATAAATATTGACAATTTCAAGATCTAATATTGCTTGCATGATTTAAAAAATTTTTTTTCACATGAATTTAAGCCCAAAGAATGCAAATATCTCAAGATCCTTCAGCTAGCACAAGAATTACTTCTTAGTATTTCTAGTCTTAAGTTTTCCATTCAGGTCAAGAAAAACTCATCATTGTATAAATAAGAGTGAATTAAATGTATTAAATTTATTACTAATAAAGTACAGAAATTTACAAATTTTATAATCTTATTTGTAGACAAATCTACCTTATAGGTATGCTTTAGAGGTAGAGAAGTACAAGTTGTATTGCTATATCCAGAAGAAAAAATTCTTGGGCATCCTGATGAGTATCAGTCTGGTCCAAAGATATTGTCTGCCACAGATCAGGGATAGCAAAGTCCTGGACATTTTTAAATAAATTCAAATGTCTTGTGGAGCTAGACTGGCGAGTATGAGTAAATTGGGCCAGGGAACAGACTCCGTCCATGTACCTATGTAGATCTGTACACAGCTACATAGATAAAGGTCTTCAGGTGTGAAGGGTTGTGTTGTATGCACGTGTGTGTGAGTAGGAGGCACAATAGGGAAGGTGCAGCCCTTTAGAAAGTGGAAGCATCTATCTAGCCTCTGGAGAGATGTTCTAAAGACATACCAAAAGTCAGTATTTTTATAGGAAAACCCCTAATTTTCCAATGTTAGGCCAAAATGTCAAAGTCCTGTGTAGCAGCTCCAAACAGAGGCATATTTGTGCATTCCACTTGAGCTTAGTTTAGAATGTATGCTTGGAAGGCACAAATGAAGACAAAACAGACAACAGTAGTAAAGAAGCTTGAAAATTTTATTCTATTTGATACATTGAAAGCTGAGCATTTTTATGATAAAGGCTTTAAGAAGCTCTCTTTTCAGTTTTACTACTGTGTCTACCAATTCTTCCTTTTTCCTGGTATTGCATTGCATGTATGCTCAGATTGGAATAATTTTACATTTACAAATTATCTAATAGAAAAATAATTTCATTGCTACATATAAGCAAGTTGGGGTACTTCAATGAAAATAAGACAAAAACAAGAGCATTCAGGACGTTTATACTGTAAATTTGATATTTTAGCAATATTTTGACAAAAGTTTATTCCATTTATAATCATCTGGCTACACAATGCTAAAAGAAAACTTATTAGCATGCAAAGCAATATTCAGAATACATCTCTTAAAATTGCAGAACTTAAATTTTCAAACATTCCACTGGATTGCAGGTGACGTGAAGACGGTCTTGAATAGTGACACACTTATTTCCTACAGACAAAAAAGAAAAACAATGATTTAATATGATTATAATTGACAGATAATATTGTTAACTCACCCAGAAAACATCTCAGTGGCTTTTGATACAAGTTGTTTACAAATTCCTTTATTTTTAAATCCCTCGTCTTTTGGACTGTTTATATATTTTTGTTTAAAAATGACTTATCTAAACTTTGCCAATCAAAAATTGTAAAGATTTACACATGATTTTTAAATGCATCAATAGTAATTGGTTATACTGATGTCTCATTTTTTACTACCCTGCTTAGTAAATTAAGCAAATAATATAACTTACAATGATATTTCATCGTGTGTTAAAATTTCAGCATATATATTACAATTTTAAAGTGACATAATGAGTCAATGACCTCAATTGATTTAAACATACATATTTTTGTTGTATAAGAACAGAATGTAGGAATAACTTGTAAGAAGTTGACAAAATATATGAAAGTTTTAGTGGTTTTCAGAATTAGCTGGAGGGGGACCGGGGCGCAAGGGTCTGAGTTCAATCCCCGGTTCCGCCAAAAAAAAAAAAAAAAAGAATTAACTGGACATGCAATCACCTGTCAGTGATTTTGGTCTGAATCAGCCAGTTGATAAAGTCCTTGGTGGCAAGGTGGTCCAGAACAGTGTTCATCTCATCCGAGAAAGAGCCATCGGCGTGTCTGCGGCGGAGCTCTTCAACAATGGTGACTTCTTCTGGGAAGCTAAGAAAACGAGGCTTGAAGTCATTATTTGGTTAAATACTCAGAGTAAGTGCTTCTGGGCTGTCTACTGTTGGTAATGCGCAATGGTTACTGAGTGTTCGGCCAGGATTCTGTGTACAAGGAGCCTAAGAGAAAAGCGCTCATGAACACCGGCGCAAGCTGGGAACTGTGTCGGAGCTGGGATATGAAACCAAGCCTGTTTAACTTCACATCCCTTTGCAATATTTTGGCTTGCTTCAAAGATTTTAATATCTTCGATATACAAAAGCTAACATTGAGACTATTAATGTAGCTATAATTATGTAAACTAAATAATAAAAACTCATTACTATTAATACAGCTTTGCAAAATTAATTCAAGAGATTGAAACTTAATCTATATGAAATGTTCTCTTTCACTGATCTGCACTAGCAGACTTTTTTAGTATTCTTTATAATATTGTAGAAATCCTGAAGTGGAAGCAACTGATTTAACACTGATTCTATCAGTTTGGTTAATGTTTAAAATGCAGCTACAATGCAATTTTTCTTTTTATTTTGAGATCTTTCAAGATCTTTGTAAGTATGTTTTAATTATGACTTAATGATCCAAGTTGAATGCACATTTCTTGCCTCCCACCAAATGCTGCTTGAAATGGTTATAAGAAAATGGGAAGATTTATGGTTCAGTGTCAAGACTGAAGCAAGTAACTAATCATTTTAGCCTCATTTTCAACTTTGATTACTTATTAGATATGTATATAACACCAACATAAGAATACAAAGTATGTATGAATGTTTCTACATATCATTACTTTGAGTGTTATTAACATCTTATGTTGGGTCTTTTTTTGTCTTAATCACATGTTTATACAAATATTAACATATGATTATACATTAATCACAATGCAGCTATTTGAAGTCAAGCATTATGAAGTGCTTTATTTAAATATTAAAATTCTTAAAGTTCTCAGCATGATTTATTATTTCTCCTTATGGCTAGCTTTCTTGGGACTGTGAAAATTGGTTGTCCCAGTGTAGTTATCAAAAGGATATGATTTGCTTTCAAGTGTGCCTCATCTGGATGAGTCAGTACCTTAGTATAGCACAGCTAGAGTAGGAGACAGAAATGTGTTGTAATAGACTATCAATACCTGCTAGCTAAATTTATATGTTTTTTCTCATCAGTGAGAGCTATTTCCTTACTTTGTGAAAAAATACTAACTGCTTTTATAATCCTGAATATATATATATATATATGCACATATATATAT